CACCAGCTGGCTTTGAACTTGTAATCCTCTTGCCTCAAACCTCTGCATATTGGGATTACAGAAGTGTACCACCACACTTGGCTTATTTATTACTATTACTACCATTATCTGGCTAGTTCAATGCCACTTAATAATGATGACCTATCTTTTTATTTCTCCAAAGATTTACAAATACCTACATATTTTTCAATTACATACCAACCCTGGACTCTCTAAAGAAATTGCTGAATGACAATCTAAGGCAGAGTCAGAAAATTGAGGTATACTCAGAAATGAATTAATGGTGTTATATGGAAGAGGCCTGAAAAGAGCAAGTAAATAGCTTCCCATGCTAGAACAATATGTTGTTCCTATGAACTGTTAACATTTTGTATATGGGACATTTGAATATTCATTTGTCCTAATCAGCAGATACCCATTGTATGTATTTAGCATGTGCTACCTGTTTTAAAACATATATGCAATGATATGGCCAGGTCAAGCTAACTAGCATGCATTGCCTCATACAGTTAACATTATGTTATGGTGTGAGCACTTCAAATCATCTATCTGTCTGTCTTCTTTCTTTCTTTCTTTCTTTCTTTCTTTCTTTCTTTCTTTCTTTCTCTCTCTCTCTCTCTTTCTTTCTTTCTTTCTTTCTTTTCTTTCTTTCTTTCTTTCTTTCTTTCTTCCTATCTATTTATCTGTCATCATCATCTACCTATCTGCTGTGTCTGTCTATCTTATCTATATGTGGGAACTTTGTACAACATATGAAATCTATGTTTTCCACTGTTAGTATAAATAAAAGGTACCCAGTATTTCCTTTTTTTTTTTTTTGATTTTTCAAAACAAGGTTTCTCTGTGTAACAGCTCTGGCTGTCCTGTGACTCATTCTGTAGATCAGGCTGAACTCGAGCTCACAGACATACGCCTACCTCTGCCTTCTGAGCGCTGGGACTAAAGACATGTGTCACCACTGCCAGGCAAGTATTTTCAACATTAAAATGAAGCCATATCATAGTCACACTGAAAAGACACTCATAATATAGGCAGTTCTTTTTTATTATTTAATTACTACTCATATTTACATGTCCATTGCCCCCATTTCCTTGCCCTTCCATCCTCCCATGTTCCCCACCAACCCTCCCAACCCACCCCCAGCTCCTCCCCAGGGATAGTGAGGCCCTCCATGGGGACCTTCAATGTCCATCATATCATTTGGGGGAGGTTGTAGGCCCTCCTTGCTGTATCTGGGCTGCAATATTATCTCTCCATAGGGAATGGGCTCCCAAAGTCCACTTGTGCTCTAGGGATAAAGACTGGCTCCACTGTTAGAGGTCCCATAGACTGTCTTGGCCTCCTAGCTGGAACCCACATTCAGAGGGCTTGGTTTGGACCAATGCTGTTTCCACAGCTTTATGACTAGCGTCTCCATGCTCTCACTAGGTCAGGTCCACTGTTTCTGAGGGTTTTTCCAGCTCTGTCTTGGCTCCTTTGCTCATCCCTCCTCCCTCTCCACAACAGGATTCCAGTAGTATGGTTCAGTGCTTGGCTGTGGGTGCCTGTTTTGGCTTCAAACAGCTTCTGGATGAAGGCTCTAGGTAACCAAGGTAGGCATCAATTTCATTATAGAGAAGGCATCAATGGCATCCTCTCCACCACTGCCTGGCTTCTTAGTTGGGGTCATCCCTGTGAATCCCCTAACATTTCCCCTGTGTCAGACCTCTCTCCATACCTGTACTGTCTCCCTCTGTCAAGACATCTCCTTTCTTGCCCTCCTCTATCCCCCACCCTGTCTCAGTCCTCTTGTTCTCCTCCCCCCCTTCTTCCTTTCCCACTTTCTTCCTCCCCCTCCCCCAGGCTCCCACTTTGGTCAGGGGTTCTTGTCCCCATCCCCTTCTTCGAGGGACTACACAATTTTCTCTTGGGGTCCTCCTTGTTTCCTAGCTCCTCTGGCAGTGTAGATTGTAGACTGGTAATCCTTTGTTCTATGTCTAAAAATCAAAATGAGTGAGTACATACCATGTTAATCTTTTTGTGACTGGGTCACCTCACTCAGGATGGTTTCTTCTAGTTCCATCCATTTGCCTGTGAATTTCAAGATTCCATTGTTTTTTTTTCCCCACTGAGTAGTACTCCATTATATAAATGTACCACATTTTCTCTATCCATTCTTCAGTTGAGGGGCATCTAGGTTGCTTCCAGGTTCTGGCTATTACAAATAATGAATATAGGTAGTTCTTATGAACACACATTTTAAAAACTATGAAGCTGGCATAAATCTTTATGAATAAAAGTGATCATCCAACCACTGGCTCACTTTTATATCACTGTTTTGAAATGAATTTGATGTAGTCAAAACAGTGTGCCAATGATGATGTGTAAACAATGTGACCTGAGCAAGGTATTCAGACTTATCTAGGAAACGTTGTCTAGGAATAGGCTGAAATATTAGGAACCATTCTTGTTAAAATTAGCTTCTGTCATACTTTGTTTCATTGTTATTTGGTAAATATCTGTCTTCAGTGAAGATCAGAAATAAATTTTAGAAAAACAAATTTTCATACATTTGACAAACGCAATCAACCAAGTACTGATACTTTTCATTTGGGGAATTCTTTCCAGAACCCTTTATAAATGTGTTGACTATTTAAAATCAATATTTAGAAATCTGTAACAGAGACATTCAGACACCAACACATCATCACTCACAGGAAACTATGGTTCACAAATGAAGTCATTTTTTTCTTCATTCAAAACAAGGAAGTATCTGGCTTTTTAAAATATAGATTTATGACAACCAAATTTAGGCATTTGTTGAGTCTTCCAAGAATTGCTTTTTTATGATGTTTTCCTACTATGTCTACAGCATTCCTTTAATGAAAGACCTGCTCTTGATGGTGAACAGAAGAAATCCCTCCTCCCAAAATATGATTTTCCTAAGAAGAATCATTTTAAGGTCTCTCAAAAATCAGTCAGAAATTTCTACAATTCTACAATTTCAGCTCAATTAGAATATGCATTCTAATAAAACTGAATTTACCAATGAGAATGTTCATTATACTTTGTCTCAACATCAAAAGGGTGGAAACAGTGCAAATGTTCAACATTAGGAAAGTAGTTATGATACATTAGTGTCCTGTGTCATGTGCTGTTCAGTACGTGTCCCTGTGGAGGGTGCTGACAAATGCTCTTTTACTCTTGAGTTTCGGTTTTGTGTATTATTTGAAATATTTATTTCATGTATGTGGGTATTTCGTGTGACTGTGTATATGTGTATCACATGCGTACCTGATTCTCACAGAGGCCAGAGAGGGGGTCAGATTCACTGGAACTGCAGTTACACTTGGTTGTGTGTCTGGAATCAAATCCACTGCTCTACAGCAGCAGCCAGTGCTCTGAATCACAGAACCATTCCCCCAGCCCATATATCCTTATTTTTAAAGTTTTTTTTTGTTTTTATGCTCTACCACTTCTCCAATACTGACAAATCTCTTTTTACAAAAAGATTTGCATCATCTCCTTAATAGTAACAATTACACAAACATAATTATGTGTAATTATGACACATAAGTGCATTTGGATATACGTCACAACAAGGGAAAATTCAGGTCCCAGCATCATGGGGGATGGCTATAGAAATGAACAACCTATAGACTGAAAATAATACGCTATTTCTTTTTAAATAGTCAAACCTATTGGGCTGGGTACTCACGAAATGCACATCAATGAACACTCTCCACATGGAATTCATATTGAATTGAAACACAGCTGAAGTTGAGGCTGCCTCCAGACCTTTTAATGTATTATCAGGCTTCTGGAAAACCCAGGCTAGTGTGTCCTAGTTTTGGACCCAGACTTTCTCCAGAAGAACAAGACTTTAATAGTTGGAGTTTTATACATTAAATTCAGTAAACTCAGCCGGTAGGTTTAACATAGGGGCTGAGGCTATAAACTCCTGTCTGTCATCTTTACTGGAGCTCCAACCACAATGAAGCTCTCACTGTTAACGTGCCCCCTTTGCCCTGTGTTAGCTTCTGCTGTGTCTTCCCAATGGAAGGCCCTTCCACACCCTAGTACCAAAGTGTACCTACATTTGAAAATGTAGTCCTGCTTGAAAATTTCCTACCTCAGGAACCTGTTCTCCTCCAACCTTCAGAGGCTCTTCTCTTTTCCGGTCTTTTGTTCTAAGACCTAAAAAACAAACAAACAAACAAACAAACAAACAAACAAACAAAAAACACGTTGAATCACACCATAAGAACTTCAGAATGTGGCACTCATTGGTGCTCATGACTGTTCTTCAATTTTCTACATTTTCTTTCTTCAAATTATTTCTTTTGTTGTTATTTACTTTTTATTTTCAACATTACAATTCAATTACAATGTTTCTCCCTTCCCCTTTTCCCTCCTAAGTTTAGAGTCTCAACCCTCTCATAGACCCTTCCCCACTCTCCCTCAAATTCGCTGCCTCATTTTTCATTAATTGTTATTGCATACACGTAAGTGTGTGTGTTCCTAAATATCACCTGTTGTCTTTAAATTCTTTTGAACACATTTGAGACATAGAAATGAGTAATTTAATAACCATTAATGCTGTTAATCCATGTTATTTAATCTGTAACATACCTTACTTCTTCCACTGGGTCATAACATTCCCTAGCAGAAAGTCAAATCACCCGCTCCCATCTTTAAACAGAGGCCAGTACTCAAAGGTGTTCAACATGTGTTATGAAGCTACAGAGAAATGAAACATGGATTCCCAGAAACCTGTCTCTGAGAGAAGAACCCACTCGAGGGGCCTCTGCACTTCTGACCAGGGTCTCAGGGACACACAGAAGTCACAACCATGCACCATGAGCAGTTTTATTGTTGCTGAACTAAAAGGGTGGGCAGAAGAGAGAAACCTGGAAATATTTTTTCAAGTCAAGAGAAGTGGGTATGGTCTTCCTGGTGGAATTCATAGGCTTGGGTGAGGAGAAGGTCACTATAGCTATGTATCCTTTATGCCCAGTCTCTCAGCACTCTTCCTCTTTGCAGTGGTAGGTGGTGCCACCTCTGAGGCAGCGGGGTTGTGGGTGGTGAACTATTCTGCGTCCTGCAGTGTTCGGAAGCCCTGGCCTTTCAGAGTGGGAAGCACAGCCTGTTGAACAAGAAATCTTGCAAGAAGTTGAGCAGGTAGTCAGACACGGGGTAGGGCATTTTGGAGATGGACATTTGGGAGCATTTGGGAGCTCCTGAGGCTGTTGTTTCTGCTGTGACATTGCTCAGCTAACTCTTTGAATCTGGAAGAAAAAGAACATACTGTTACATAAGAGACCAGAAGGCATGGGCCACTCTTCTCTGGAGCTGAGGCTGCCATTAATAGAGCCAGCATTAACAACTCAGAAAAGCCTATTCCAGAATGAAGAATGGTGGATTCTAAAGGATTGAACTCATGGGGAGTAAATTCTGGTGAGAATTTCTAAGAATTAGTCAATAATCAAGTTAATAACTTACCCCCTCCTATTAAAGAAAAGTAAAATTTAACTTTCTGAACCAACAGGACACTTCTAAGACTGATGACTGATGTGGTCACGTGTAAAGAACACACACATTCCTGCTCTTTTGTTACTTGGTTCTGGCCTCAGTTTTTAAGCCTATGTGGTGTGTCTCTGCTGTTAATTCTGCCCTCTGGTCCTCATTGGTTTGTCCCATGTTAGTTCATTTCAGGATTCTTGGCATGGATTTCCAGTCGTTCCCTTCTCCCTGCTATAAATATTTCCTACCTTGTTTATTAATTTCTTGGGAGAGATACTAGGGGATGCCAAAACTTTCTTAGCAAAGTGTGAGTGAGTGACATGTGTCTCTTCACCCCAAAGTAGCCTTACCTTCAAGGAAGATGGGTAGACAAGTCACCCCAGGAGGAGCCTGAGGTTTTGTGGGACCAGGATGGAAGGTGCTTTTTTATACATCCTCCAGTTGAAGCCTCCAGGCTACTTGTTATTGGAGGGCAGTCATGGAGTGGATGATCTATCCAGGTGTTTCATAATTCCCAGGGCAGGATTTCTCATCTGTATACACCTGGGAAGCATTTCAAAGGGAATTCCATGTAAGCAAGTGATGAAAAGGCTGAGGCTGGCTTGTGTAGAAGTGAGTACACCACACAAATTCTATGAGACGAGACAGGATGGGAGATAAGAAAAGTACTTTTATGTTTAATTTAGAATGGAAGAAGGAAGACAGACCAGTCAGTGACCAGAGTCTGAGGAAGACCCTGATTGTCTCCTAACACCTATGACTGAATATCCAGCTCAGCACCATGCATTCCATGGGACTTACCTAGTTTTATAGTCATATTAGAGTCCTAGGTCCTCTGACCTCAGATCTACAGGTGTCCCAGGTCATAGTGACCTAGATACGTACCTTATCGTTTCTAGTAAACTGAATGATAGAGACTTGTCATTATCACTTTTGCATTCCTAAAGCCTGATGCTATTTCCAACACACACCAAAAAATGCTCATGAATGTTTGATGAAGGGCTCAATCTACCTGACTTTAGAATAGGGCTTGTATCCAGGGGAACAAAAGCAGGGAAATAAGACCCAGCTCATTTTTCTTTGTATTTAGACTTCATTTTTATTCCTCTTTTGTGAACACACTTTCCGAATCTGTGGGTGGACCTTGCCTGGTACAACAGACTGAGAGGAGGGAGGGGAGAAAACATTCATTACCTGTCTTTAAATAGAAATGAGGATCTGTGTGTTGATCCAGACACTCCATTGAAAAGCCTTTTACAAAGCAAAAGTTTTTCTTCATCTTTTATAAAAGTTTATATTATCCCATGTTTTCTTAGCTAGAGTGAAAATCCTTCTCATCTAAATACCTTTTCTCATTTCCCAGTGTTTCCATTTCAGAATCATTGTTGATGTGACATCTCATTGAAAACGATGATGAGTTTGGCAGTAGGGGCTGGGCCTTGCCTGCCTCTAACCAACCCTAAAAACACACTATAATGTGGAAACAACTGACTAAGTGAGAAAAGATGTAATTTGATTATAGAAGCACTCCTTAAAGGCCCCAAATCAGATTGGAAACAAAGGCAAACATGACTGGGGCATGGGTTAAGGAATAAGGGACCTAACCAGGGTAGAAAACAGAACAAATTCAGGAAGAATTACATTTGGAGGGCTAACCCAGCAGGGCAGCATTATTTAAATTTGTCTGTTCCTTCTGAGAAGCTTTGGGGATGTAGCTTGGATGTAGAGAACTTAAAGTACTTATGAAAACACAGTGAGTGGGTGGGAGACGGTTTGGTCTATGTCATCCTATAACGAGAGGGCCCTAAAGAGTGAATCTGATTTACAGGACCTCAGTGCTTAAACAACATCTTCCTTCACTTCTTCTGTGCCTTTCTTTCCCCTCAGCCCTCTCAGGCACCAGAGAAGCCTCTGGCTGTTCCTCATCATGCTTCATGTGCCTGGGAAGGCAGCATTTGTTTGATTACAATGCATTGCTTTTTCTTTTCCCCAACCCACATCTGCAGCATGTAATTTCCTAGTATGGAGACCTCACATGCCACAAAAGCATTTATTTGCGCTTAACCAATAATCATTCATTTGCTATAGTCCTTATATAAGGTCTATAAGTTCTTTCTGGGGTTTCTGCCATGAGTATTCTGCCCCGGAAGAATCAAGTATACCTGCCTATTTTATTTATTTTCCATCCTATGCATTATAGTACAAATCACCCATAGGAATCTTTAAGTGCAATCAATTTTATCACGGTGAGTCTTCTCAACATGTAGGGCACTATGGGGACTGAGTCTAGGATTTGTACTTGCAGTAGAAGATATTGATATATAGGTTTGCCTAGTTACTAGGGAGCCTCTCCAAGTTGTTCTCTCTTCAAATGGACTTACACATCTTGTCACTTGTACATTAGGGACCCAGAAATTTAGTGTTCTTAAATTTCAACTCCACCTCTCATTGTGGCTCAGGTATCTAAGAGCAGAATTTCGTAATTTGATAGTAATTAAGTACCTACTATGAAAATGATGCAAGAAAGGACAGAACCCCACCTCATGCTTTAAAGAGTTCTCATAGAAAGAGAAGGGATGCATTAGTGGGTCACACCAGATGGTACTGAAAGTGAAGGAGGGAAGCAAAATAGCAGGCTAGTGCTGCTTGGATTTTAGAGTGTGATTAATTATCACAAGTGTACCTGGTTAGGAAGGTAGTGTCTGAAGAGGTGGCTATCATTACTGAGCCTGATCTGGAGACAGGATCCTACCCCCAAGAAGTGTCTCTTCTCATTCCTACTCATTTGAGGCCCTCAAATTTTCCTGAGCAATAAGCACCTACAGATATAAAGTTTCTCTGAATCTTACCTCTGTAGTTTTTCTTTTCTTTTCTTTTCTTTTCTTTTCTTTTCCTTTCTTTTCTTTTCTTTT